GTTGGGGTATCAGTCGAACGTGATTGTGCACACATTTGTAAATACTTTTGCTAGCGATTTCCCCAACTCAATACAACGCTTCATCCTGCCATCGTGTGCAATTCCGAGCGGCCTCGCTGACAGTGTTGAGGACAAGACAATTTTGAGACCTTCTGCCACTTCTTTTTTCAATTCAGAAAATATGTCCTGCAGGGGTACGAACCTGGACTGACAACCAATAGTACTAGACTTCAAAGTATATTGTTCACTTTACACTTTGTTTGACTTCCAAAGGGCGGACGCATAGTCGGTCGTCCGACAGCAACGATCGCAACTGTCTGACTGTCTAACTGCATCTAATCGTCGAATACTCAGGCAAGTCCGACGATCGATACGCATCCAATGCTGTGCGACACTTGCAGTCGTTGCTGTCGTCCGACCGACTATGCGTCCGCGGGCCCAAGCTAAGCGTGACCTCTCGAGTTCTTCCGGTCGTAAGCGCAAAGCATGACATTAATTTTACGCGCCGACGTCACTTATCACCAGTTTCACACTATGTGTTTCAAATTGGGCAATAGTTCAAACATACACATATCTCGTCGCCTGAGTAGGTGCGCATACGGATTTGACGTGGCGGACAATAGAGAAAGCTTGGATAAGATATTTCCAACTCTTATAAGGCATTTGGTTGAGTCGTCACCCCTCCTCGACTGGAGTCAAGTAGAAGCACTTAGGGATGTAACTGTACTTTAGTTAGTCTTCAAAAAGGGTGTTAGGTGATGAAGTTCGTAAGAAAAAGTGATCTAGGCAAAGGATCTATGCGATATGCGTTTTGGAAGGATATGAAATAAGCAAATAGAAAGGAAATTGTAGAAAAGGGTAGTATCCAATACATATTTCCATTTCAGGCGTGTACACATGATGAAAGCCTTGCACTAACCGCCACTGCATGGAGGTATGTTCTGTGCATCTCTTGTTGACTTTTGCTGGAGAAAAGAAGTTCGTTGATAAGGTAGAGGGTTATAAAGATGAGGTGTAATTTCTGGTGATGCATTATTTTTTCCACAGATATCTGATTTGATAAAACAGTGAAGATTTATTTGGAGGTATTCATCAGAAAACATCTTTTAAGAGCATTGTTTTTTGCTCTGTTTACGCAGGTTTATGCAAATGACGGATTTGTCTTTTGTTAATGTTAAACACTGATTCTTCTTCTTTGAAGGATGCGCTTGATCAGTGTCATCGCTTTGCTTGCCGCTTCTCTTCTATTCTTTTATGCAATCGTGCTGCCATTTTTCGAAGAGCATGATGTTTCACTTGAAGAGGAAGCTTATAGTTGCAGCAGTTCCTGCAGGTATGTGCTGTCTCTCGACGACTCCTCCGTTGGTGAAACCTTTAAAAGGCATTTTTGCAGTATGGAGTATGTTGAGAGCATTCCTACTGGACTGAATTTCACTGAAGGTCCAGCTAATCGGCCTACTCATGAAGCTTGGTTGGATTTGTTCAATTCTGCCAACAGAACAATCCACATAGCTGCTCTTTATTGGAATTTGAATTCGTCCGAATATCCAACAGCGGAATATGGCCGACAAGTCTTCTCAGGTCTTGCTGATGCTGGACGGAGAGGAGTAGATGTAAGGTGTAGATTTAGAACTTCTAAATGTGTTTTGTCGACCATAAAGTGAGTAAATGTTGTGTGCTGCTCAGCTCGCAGCAGACGTGTACGTACGCGCACCATAGTGCGTCCTTTCATCATTTCCTGAGCCCTGTTTTTTTTAGTTTTCTGTTTCCGTAGGAGTAATTTTTGAATACGTCAGCTGGGCTCAAGAACACCTGCTGAACTGGTGATTTTGATTGTAGGCATATGTAATTTTGCCTGCTCTGAATTTGTATATTGATGTGGAAAGTCCACTGGCTACTTGAAGGAGGACTCTACGATAGGGTCGATGGTCAGAAGGGGAAGCCTATCTAGTGGAAAGATAGGTTGACCCCTCAAGGGTGCGGACTGACACGCCCGTGGCTGTCGCAGGTCTGTAGCCGTTCAGCAGAGAAAGCGTTAGCGTTGAAGAGGGCAGCACTGATGAGAGTCGCATCAATGCGAAATCAACGGGCAAGGAAGGGTCCCCATTTCTCGGGTTCTGGGCCGTTTCTCATGGTTTTTCCTTCATCCGGCACCACTGACCACCTCTACCTTAATTCTGATGGGCTGCCTTCGAATCGTAAACTCTGCCTTTTTACTAGTTCCTTTGAACCGCTTCAATGATGCTCTCGTTGCGCTCTTCTCGCTAAACAGCGGCCCATGACTACTGTGATCTCACACACTCGACTTTTTCCACACTGTAATTCTCTAACCCACCTTGGAATCCCTCTCCCTCCGATGAGCCCAGGGCTCTTCCCTTCTTTTTGTGATTTGCAGCCGAGCCAGGCGCTGTTCGCTCATCGTCTTAGCTCTGGCCATTTACGGTAGAGAAAATGTGGAAAATTCAAGTAGCTCCGGAAAAGTTTTGAATATAACTAAGAGCGACTGAATAAAGGCGCGTTCTCAAGAGGTGCTGAACAATCTTCCAGTGTTCTAGCGTAGAAATGACATATCACTTGCTTTTTATTCCATGAATGACTCCATCGAATATATAGAGTGCTGGGACTTTTGCGTAGGTTGCTGTGATAAGGAAGCATTCATTTTGACCATTTCACTAATGAGTTGGTTAAAACAGTGTTTCACTAACAGATTCGGATTGCCAAGATGTCAGCAAAGGTTTATCAGACAACAATGATTCCCAATGGCTAGCTGATCAAGGACTAGCGCAGGTACTTGTTCAGAAAATGGTCAGATGTTCTCATAGTGGAAAAAGTGTGTACCTTTTCAGGTCCGCACTCTTGATTTTAACAAATTAATGGGCTCGGGTGTCTTGCACACAAAGTTCATCATTGTGGATCTCACCCATGTCTACGTAGGATCGGCAAATATGGACTGGAAGTCGTTGGCTGAAGTCTGCCATTTATTCTTTTTTCTCGTTTCTCTGCATTTTCTCATTTTTTTTTCAGGTGAAGGAACTCGGTTTGTACATCCGAAATTGTCCTTGTTTAGCCGCTGATTTGCACAGAATTTTTGCTGTTTATTGGCATCTTGGACAGGTAGCGAAAGTCTTTCCAGTGAAACTCTTTGAATTTAGGGTTTCCTTCGTTTCAGAAAGATGCCAAAATTCCTTCCAAATGGCCTTCTGCATTCGAAACATCTTTCAACATCAAGTCACCAATGAAACTCAATTGGAGCGCTGTGGAAACGGATGTTTTCATATCTGTATGTTTTGGTATCCTTGGTGAGATTAATGGTCCAAAGGTTTGTCCAGAAACAAGAGATTCTCCTCCAGTTCCACTTCGGGGTCCAATTACAGTGACAATTATTTTAACATATTCATTGTTTCGAAGAAATTGTGGAAACTTTATTAACCCCCGATATTCTGACCAGATTGTCTTGCTTGGAGGCTTCAAGGCTCGAAAAATGCCTCGCATCATCGAAATCTCTTTCTCTCTTCCGTTTCCGACAGATTTTGAGGGAAGCAGACAAAAATCTTGAAGGACGGCAATAGACTAACCCAGTTCATCACCACAGGAGCATAAAAGCGTCAATCCATGTTACGAGAGATAACATCTTTGCTATCGAAGTGCTGTCTCTAATTCCACGATAACAGAAAACAGAATATTCCACGATAAGGTGGGAGGTCGGAAAAGGTGAAATACAAAAGCATACCGACCCTTAGGGTGCTTTGACGACGTGCAATTCTGAGCGAAGGCTTAGTGCCCAACTCGCCCACTCTGCCCGTACTTTGCACCGCTCGCGCCGTGCTCTTCACTACACCATCCTACGCTAACTGCCTCCAGTCTCCCAACGGCCTCCCCCCCGTCCAGTGCGGAATCAAGGCGAAAAGAGTTCATTTTTTGGGCTTGGGCCGGGTTTCTCATGGTGGCTTCATCAGTGCACCACTGTCACCTCTACTTTGATTTATGATTTTCCTCACAGAAAATGGGTTGCTCACTCATTTTGTTACAAAACGTTTATCGGTTACTTCATGACCTATTGTTTAGAGTTCGCCGGCTCCATTCAATCCAAACGGTCGCGAACACGACTTAGAAACGATCGTCTCGTTGATTTCGTCCGCACGTCGCAGCGTTTGTGTGGCTGTTATGGATCTTATACCTCAGACGTTGTACATGGGACCCAATAACAGGTTTTGCTTTTCGAGTCTGATGTCCTGTATATGAAGAAAGGTTGAAGCATTCGGCCTGCATAAATTCCTGTTGAGATGCGCCACGCGATCTGCTTCATTCAAAATTTAGTGGTGGCATTTGAGTGCAGTTCGCTCCATGCAACGACGTCTTTGTGCTCGCCTCAACGTTTTTACTCTCCCAGTCAAATCTGATACCAATAATTCAACACGGAGGGCTCCACGCTTAGGTTAGCCTGCACGGCATATGGCCCAGGATTTGATCCCCGGACCATGCTCGTGATGAGCGGCGTCACTTCTGTCCAGATTCTCTGTAAGGACCGGATATTGAGCACTTTTTTATCTGCATAGTCAAGGTTTTCCATAGATAAAGTCAGTGGAACAGTAAATGGTAGGTTTCATCACGTGAAATGTTTTGTTCAGCTACTGGCCCGATATTGACGATGCGCTCCGTTCGGCTGCTTTTCGAGGTGTAGCTGTGAGGCTTTTGGTCAGCCACTGGAATCACTCTCGCCCAGCCGAGCTAGCGTTTCTCAGAAGTCTAGTTGCAATTAACGATGGTTTGCCGGCGAAAGCAGGACACAGCGGAAGCATCAGTGTGGTTCGTTCCTTGCACTTCTTTATATTGTAGCTAATCCGTCCATATTTTTCGTTCATTTCGTCGTGGGCTAAGGATAAACGCGAATTTTGGCGGCTGGGGGTGACTTATGGGAAAGATCCCTCAGTGGTGGTGTCTTGGTCGGAACATTGTGGGTTTTTGCATAAGCGTTGAAGTATCAGCAGAAATAAGAGTATTGTTTGGAACCGTTGTTTGGCACA